GAAATGTATAAATTCCTAGAAAAACAGAAAACCTCATAATAAGATGGAAAAATCAAAAATGCCAATATCAAAAAAATGGAATCACATCGTTATCATGATTCTTATTTCACATGAATTTAAAATCCAATGGAGCAATTTATTCAAACTCATTCACTTATTCCAAAATAGGTGTTGAGTATTACCTATATGCCACACACATCTTTAAGTGTTATGTGTACAATATGGATGATCAAAAGAAAACCCTAACCATCAGAGAGTTAACATGCTAAGCAGACATTAAAATTAAACTAACACATATACAAACATGTGTGGTCACACATACACACATATGCACAGCTCAAGTTTTCCTTTCTACCCAGATAATACATCATTATACCTTTGGATAAATGAGAGGAGTATTTATAAAAAGTAATTTTATTCCTAACCAGTTTGGGTCAGTGGATAGAGCGTCAGCTTGCGGACTGAAAGGTCCCAGGTTTGATTCTGGTCAAGTTCACGTACCTGGATTGCGGGCACATCCCTAGTAGGAGGTTTGCAAGAGGTAGCTGATCAATGTTTATCTCTCATCGATGTTTCTAACTCTCTATCCCTCTCCCTTCCTCTGTAAAAAATCAATAAAAAATATATTTGAAAATGTATTTTAAAAAATAATTTTACTTTTTTAGTAAGTTCCAAGAAAAAAATTTCCCAGATCCTAAATTTTGTTTCATTGAACCAAAGTTTGTAAAATACCATCAGTGCTACAGGCAAAACTGCACACTATTATAAAATAAGTTGATAGCATAGAAAATTCTGGTTTATGTTAATCAGTGCCAAATTATATATTAAGTTATTAGACTTTTGCTGAAAACATTCAGCTAAGGAAAATAGAACTTTTGCCACAAGATCACATCAAGTAGTGTCATTCTACCTAATAAAAGAATAATATGCAAATTAACCATCACTCAGCTACACCCACAAGCCACACCCACTAATCATGCCCACCAGCCCATCGGGAGTGAATATGCAAATAAACCCAACCAAGATGGCTATGGCCATAGAGAACAGGAGTGAGGCTTGGGTTTCCCCATCAATGGAGGAAGCCAAACTTTCTGCCTGCCCTTGCCAGCCTAGGCCTCCACTCAAGGCCACGAAGTTTCAATGATAGAAGATACGTAAACCCAAAAAGAAATGGTGGCAGCCCCGGAACTGAAAAGAGCAGAAGGCTAGGGTTGCCCTGGGTGATAGAGGAAGCCAAGCTTTCCACATACCCTTGCCTGCCCAGGCCTACACTTAAGGCTACAAAGTTTCAATTATAGAAGATAAATAAATTCCAACAAAAATGGCTGCAAGTACAGAGCAAGCAGAAAGCTTAGCTCCTCTGCAAGTTACAAAGTTTCAATTATAGGAGATAAATAAATATCCCAGATACCAGATCCTCTGCTTGGGTCGCCAGGGGGCATGGCCAGCCTGAAAACCACCACAGGCCCCTCACCCAGGCCACCCCTCACCCCAGATACCACCCTGATCTGGGACACCCTTCAGGGCAAACTAGCTGGCCCCCACCCATGCACAGGCCTCTATCCTATCTAATAAAAGCATAATATGCAGATTGACCATCACTCCAACACACAAGGTGGCTGACCCCGTGTGGTCAAAGATCTTGCCCCCATGTGGACACAAGATGGCCAGCAGGGGAAGGAAGTTGGGAGGGACCAGGCCTGCAAGGGAGGGCAGTTAGGGATGACCATGCCAGCAGAGGAGAGAAGTTGGGGACAAACAGGCTAGCAGGGGAGCATTTAGGCATCAATCAGGCTGGCAGGGCAGTGGTTAGGAGGTGATTAGGCTGGCAGGCAGAAACAGGGGCAGTGAGGAAGGCAGGCAGGCAAGCAGTTGGGAGACAGCAGTCCTGAATTGTGAGAGGTATGTCTGATTGCTCATTTAATCGGACAGCCTGACATCCGTAGAGTGGTCCCAGATTGGAGAGGGTGCAGGCTGGGCTGCGGGACACCACCTGCTCCCTGCAGGAATTTCATGCATTGGGCCTCTAGTTGAATTATAAGTATGTACATGAGTAAACTATCCAGAAAATAGAATATGGACTTACCTGATTGCTTGTTCCCTTGCAAAGCTCATTATAATTTAGAATAGTCAATAGAATTCATAGAAGAATATGTTTGTATTAAAATAAAATTTGATACCTGCCTAGTTTCCTCATTATGTGTGACTACCTATGTATGCCCTTTATATTTTAAAATTAGTATAAGTGGACAAATGTGCAAATTATGAAATTTAAATATAATGAAATCTACAAGTTTTAGTATGGAACTAAACTTGTATAAAGTGGCATTTCTAATATTAAAAATAGTTACTGAAAGCTACAAGAAGTTAAATGAGAGGTATCTCTTTTTTTTCTGTATTTGCTTGTGCTTATTATCTACATTGTCTTTTTTTTTTTTTTTAAAGATATTTTATTGATTTTGTACAGAGAGGAAAGGAGAGAGATAGAGAGTCAGAAACATCAATGAGAGAGAGTCATCGATCAGCTGCCTCTTGCACACCCCCTACTGGGGATATGCCCGCAACCAGGATACATGCCCTTGACCGGAATCGAACCCGGGACCTTTCAGTCCCCAAGCCGACGGCTCTATCCATTGAGCCAAACCGGTCCCGGCATTATTATCTACATTGTCTTTTATGACAATTCCAATTGCCCACTAATGTGTCTTTTAGTAAAATAATCCACATAAAGATGAATTATCAGTGGAAAGAATCCATTGTATTAAGGAATAGTTGAACTGCTTTAGAACATTAATTTATATGTCATGAGCCAAAGCATGATATTTAAACAAAACTGTGTGATAATTGACAGACTAGCTTGATAAAGTGATGCTAACTGTGACATAACTATCGCCTTGGGGTTCTGATAATAAGAGTACTTCAAGTGTGTTTTCAACCATAGCCATCCATTCATTCATAGAACAGTCATTTATCTGGGGGCCATAAGTATATTTATTGAGTATAAAATTAATAATTAGAATGGAAACAAAGGCATATAGAATAAAACTGTCACCGACTCATGTACAAAAGAACTCTCTGAATCAATCATTTTACCTTTATTTGATATAAATTCTCAGCAACTGGTTAGTTAACACCTACAGCAATTTAAAACCAAAATATTAGGGAAAATGATGTTACACATTAGAACCTCTAAAATATAATTCAATTGATGAAATGCACACAGAATCACTTAGGTTATCTCTTTAGTTATTCTAGGAAGACTAAGAGTATAGTGAAAAATGAGAGGTAATATTCTAGAGTATTATAAAGCTAAGAGAAAATAGATAAATACTGCAGTATTTTTCCAATATCACTTGACTGTTATAGTCTCCCACATATTCCACTGAATGATCCCTTATGCCATTATCTTAAGCAAAATCTGTTGCTGATCAGCCATCTGGAAAGTAGGTTTTATATTCTTCATGCTCAAGAGCTCCCTATGAAGTTAATTCTCTGTATCACCTTTGCCAGTTCTAAAATGATTCTTCTTAACATCATGTAATATTCTTTGAAGATGCATCCTACAGCAAAAAAACTATCAATTCTTATTAATTCAGCCATTATTTAAAGATTCATGAATTTTGATTAAGAAATTTATTTACACATAGTATGTAAAGGATTATGAAATACTTGTGATTTGGCTTTCTAATTTTGCTTCAAAAAGTATAAAATATTTTAATGAATTTAATTTTAAAGATAGAAACAAAAATTGTGGGGGGAAAAATGAAGACACTAAAATATAAAATATGTTTATTCTTTCATATATACTATAGCCATACACTATGTTTTCATTGTTTCCCATATAGTTGGATTCCTGAGTATGTATATGGAAGACATTTTGGCATAAAATGCCTATGTCTTATATAAAACATTTTTAAAAGCTACATCAAATATCTTATGAGTTTCAGACCTAGTACCATATATGCTATATAACTAAGGAGATGAAGGAAAAATGTGAAAGTAAAGGATAAAAGAGAAAGTAGGAGGCAGAGGAAGGAAGTTGAAGGAAGAAAGATGATTAACAAATTGGAGAGAAAGATAAAGGAATCACTTCATGAGAAATATTGAGGTCTTGATTTACCAAGAGAATTCTAATAGTAATTACTATATATATTATATATAGTAATATAGATGTTTCAAAAACCTTAATGCTGTTATCTGAAAATATTTAGCAGATTAAGAAGCAATTAAAATTTAATCAGGAAGATAATTCTGTATCAAATAAAAATGAAAAATAATTATTTACTGTTTATAGGATTTTTGTTTGATGTGATAAGCTAGGGAAAAGGTAAAAAAAGAAAAGAAAGTTAAGTATCTTCAAAGCAATAATGTTATTAAATGAAGAGACTATTCTTTAATTAAGTCTAATCATGAGCACATGTCTTCCCTGGATAAGGATTTTTTTTTTTTTAAGAGAAGCAAGCATTTATTTTCTTGTTTCTCAAATAGAGTTGGCTGAGCTGGTTGCTTTCTTGGTAATTAATCAAAGAGACCAAATCCCATATCCTCCTGTGACTCTTTGCTTCAACCTTGGCTGGGTTTGCAGCAGCAGAGGAGCAGCAGCCGTGACATGGCCACAAAGCAGATGGATCAGCCAACAAGGCCTTGACCTTTTCAGCAAGTGGGAAGATGTAATCGCTCTCCACAGACAAAGCGAGAGCTCGCTTGTTCCCATTCAAGACAGAATGGGGTACTGACACAACAGTTGGATAACCAATCTGAAGGCATATGCTGGCATCATTGCAGACACCCTCCAGGAAGCAGGAATGCAGTATCCTCTGTGATGTCAAGCACTTCCGGGTTGTAGATGCTGCCATTGTCAAACACCTGCTGGATGATCAGCCCAAAAGAGAAGGGGGAGATGTTCAGCATGTTCAGCTATGTGGCTTCACTAGCTCCCACTTTGTCTCGAGTCTTATTAGCTGTACATCACTCAGGTTTTCAGTGGTGCCCTTGGTGATTTAGTGGTGATGCCTGAAGCCTGGAAGAAGGAGTCTTCTCTGGCCCCAGACCAGTATTCTGGGCTGGCACCATGACTTCACACGGGGCAGTGGCACCAGCACGGGCAGCAGCTGGTACCTTATTGGCCAGCAGCATGTCCCTGATCTCAGTGAGGTCCTCCTTGGTGAACACAAAGCCCACGTTCCCCGGATATGATGCAGCTGGGTTGTTTTCCAAATGTCCGCGGATGGCTTGTGCATCATGGTGTTCATGCCCATCAGCACCACAGCCTTCCCGCGGAGGGACATGCGGATCTGCTGCATCTGCTTGGACCCACATTGTCTGCTCCCACAGTGAAGCATTTTGGATAATCATCCAGAAGTTGGATGATCTTAAAGAAGTAGTTGGATTTCCAGCTCGCCTGTCAGGGATTGCCATGAAGGGCTTAGAGACTCCCAGGAGGACGCCTGGCAAGAGCTGGATAAGCACTTTTAAACGACATATTTGTTTAATTGAATGTACAGAAGTTTTTCATATTTAAAGGTCATATAACGTTTTTGCAAAAAGGATAAACAACTTTTATGAAAACATTTGCACAATATGAAATTAAAATGGCAGAACCAGCTTAACACCAAATAATGACAAACTTATTATCAAATTAAATTTGTTTTAGTCTCCCTTTTTCTGAGCACCAGGATATTTTCCTGTACCGTTATTTAATGAGGTACCAATTACAACTGTTAATTTTGTTTTAATTAAAAAAACAATTAACTTATTTAAACATGGTTATACCACAAAGTTATGTAGCATCATGATTTAAAGAATCAAAACTAAACATTCCAAGAAGACCTTGTTCAATTAATTCTAGTCTGACCAAGAAGCAAAATTCTTCTAAATTGATATGATTCTTATATTGCATTAAATTTAAAATAATACATTTTCTAATTACCAGTTTGTGTTTTGTTGGAGTTAATTAACAGCATTTTTGTTTTTTCTTTATCATTAAGTAGATAACAAGCACTATAAAAATAAAGAAAATTATAATGTGATTGGAAGAGTTGCTTGAACAATGAACTAGATTAAGAAATAAATCAATCTGTAAAATACCAAATTTCAATCAAATAAGAAATATAGCAATTATCCTAGGATAATTGTGCTAATTTGCTTGGGGGTATTTTTGTATAGTTAGATGCTGGGTAGTCATCATTCTTCATTTGAAGCTTTCTCTAGTGACCCTTACTAGAAGAGATAAACCATGTTGAAGGCTTTTTTAGACATATATATTTTTCTGTAGTAAATGTTTTGAAACCTCTCCACACAGTGGCCATATTGGGGGCCCATAATAACATTTTTTTAATAAATAAAAATTTATGTTCAAAGATGTAAAAACAGAATTCTCCCACATTATGAGAAATGGACATATTTTCAATGTATAATTAAACTAAAAGTTATGGTGAATGTTATGCAAATGTTTTAAGCTCATAGGCAAAAATTTCCCAGCTTTTACAATTCTCAAACTTCAATTTAATTGTTTAATAGTGGCCACTAATCAAGAAATGAACTAGCAAAATATAACCATAATTGGTATGGCATCTATGCACAAATATGCTCCTATATTAAAAAATTAAACAGATTGGTGGTAAAACTTACTGATTTCAATCTTTTAAAAATATGCCACAAGATGATTAAATGATTTTTCATTATGTATTTCCCTGTTTCTGAATCCACTCCACAGGCTCCTTTACTATTATTTTGCCAGTGCATTTTAGCTATTAAAATTCTAAACAGGACTTACATTTAAGTCTTTTATCCATTTTGAGTTTATCTGGGATGATGTAAATTGGAGGTCTACTTTCATTTTTTGCAAGTATTTGTCCAGTTTTTCCAAACCATTTATTGCTCCAATGTATGTTCTTGCCTCCTTTATCAAATATTAATTGAGCATAATGGCTTGGGTCAATTTCTGGGTTCTCTGTTCTGTTCCATTGAACTATATGTATGTTCTTGTGTTAGTACCAGGATATTTTGAGTACAGTGGCTTTGTAGTATAACTTGATATCTGATATTATGATTCCTCTAACTCTGTTCTTCTTCCTCAAGGTTGTTGCAGCTATTTGGGATCTTTATTGGTTTCATATAAATTTTTGAAGTATTTGTTCTAGGTCTGTGAAATATGTCATTTTTTTAAAATAGGGATTGCACTGAATCTATAGATTGCTTTAGTTAGTGTAGACATTTTTAATTTAATAATGTTGATTCTACCAATCCATGAACATGGTATATTCTCCCATCTGTCTATATCTTCCTCTATCATTGTTTTCCAACATCTTGTAGTTTTCAGAGTATAGGTCTTTTACTTCCTTGATTAAATTAATTCCTAAATCTCTTAATTTTTCTGTTGCAATGGTAAATGGGATTCTTTTTTTCTTACTCAAATTTTGTCCTATAATGCCCTTTTTCTTTTATTTTTTATTTAATACATCTTTATTGTTCAGTTTATTATCGTTGTTCCTCTTCCCCCCCACCCCCGCCATAGCTTCCCTCTACCCAGTTTCCACCCCATGCCCTTACCACCCTCCACTATCCTCATCCATAGGTGTAATATTTTTGTCCAATCTCTTCCCACAAACCCCCATACTCCTTTCCCTCCAAGAATTAGCAGTCCACTCCCTTTCTATGCCCCTGATTCTATTATATTCACCAGTTTATTGTTTATTAGATTTTTTATTAACTTGATTTTAGATTCACTTGTTGATTGATAGGTATTTGTTGTCACTTTGTTGTTCATAATTTTTATCTTGTTTGTGGCCTGTTTGTCTCTGCATTTTTGGTTGCTTCCCTGTGTTGATAAAGTGGCTTTGTGTACTAGGTGTCTATAGGGCCCAGTGGCTCAGGCTCTGGAGGTGCAATGTCAGCCCCTGCCTGAGGCCACCCAGCAGAAGCTACAGAAAGATCTGCAGATTCCTCCTCTTTGTTTGGGGTTTGGAAGTGCTCAGATGAGATCCAGCTGTGAAGCAATGCAGGCTGCTGCTGCAGGGCCTTAGGCCTTCTTTTAGATGCTTTGGAGCTCTCTGACCCAGCTACAGTTTGTTAGGTTTTAGGGTGTAAGAGGGACAGGCCATTTATATACAAAAGCTGCTGAGCATAGCTTTGGTGGGGTTGCAAATTGGGTGGGGCTGTGTCTCAGGGAATCACCAGGGCAGAGCAAATAGCAATGGCTGCCAGTCTGCCCTTCCCCGAATAGGTCCCAGGGTCTCTGTGTCCCACAGACCTGTATAGTAACAATGATCACTGTGAGCACCTCTGAGAGAAAGCCACCCTCATGTTCCTGTCCAATGCCTGACAGTCCAGTTTCTCCCCAAATGAGTCTGTGTCCCCAGAATCTCACCCAGAACTAGAGTTCAGAGCAATTGGGAGTCTGTGTCTGATTGAAAAAAAACAACAGTGCACCCAGTTGCCAGCCCATTTGGCATGCCTCGGTATCTCGCACTTTCACACATCCACACCTCCTACCTATCTCAATGCACTTTTTTCTTTCCTTCCAGTTGTAGAACTTCCACTCAACCAGGTTTCCATGGTTCTGGATGATATCTATTTTGTCTTTTAGTTGGAATTTTGATGTGGTTGTGAGAGGATGCAAGTATAGGTGTTTATCTATGTCACATCTTGGTTGTTCTCCTGGGATTATATTTTTAGTTTTTCTTTCTGATAGTTCACTATTGGTGTATAAAATGCTATGGATTTTGGGTATTAATTTTATAACCTGATACATTTCCAAATTAATTTATTAAATCTAATCATTTTATAATGGAGACTTTAGGGTTTTCTACATAAAGTATCACCTCATCTGCAAATAATGTGAGTTTTGTTTCCTCTTTTTCAATTTGGATTCCTTTTATTTCTTCTTCGTGTCTAATCATGAAGGCATCCATGTCTAATCATGAAGGCATCCCTGTCTTGTTCCTATTTTTAGAGGAAATGGGTTTTAGTTTTTGCCCATTGAGTATGATGTTGGCTCTGTGTTAGTCATGTATGGTCTTTATTATTTTGATTCTATTTCCTTTATTCTCACTTTGCTGAGAGATTTTATGGGGGGGGAAGTGTTGGGTTTTGTCAATTTTTTCTGCATTGATTGATATGATCATGTGATTTTTCTCGTGCAATCTGTTTATGAGCTGTATCACATTTGTTGATTTGAAAATATTGTACCAGCCTTGCACTCCCAGAATAAATCCCAGTTGGTCATGATGTATGATCTTTTTAATGTATTCTGGGTATGGTTTGCTAGAATTTTGTTGAAGATTTTAGAGTCTATGTTCATTGTAACTATAAAAGTCCTATAAGAAACAATAGGCACCAAAATTTCAGAGATCTCTTATAGTAATACATTTACCAATACATCTCCTAGGACAATGGAAATTAAATGGAACTACATGAAAACAAGAAGCTTCTGCACAGCAAAAGAAATAATAAGAGACCCCACTACATGTGAAAACAATACCTCTGATAAGGGGTTCACCTCCAAAATATATAGGGAACTCATATAGCTTAACAAAAGGAAGACAAGCAATGCAATTAAAAAATGGGCAAATGACCTAAATAGATACTTCTTCAAAGTAGACATACAGAAAGCCAAGAGACATATGAAAAAATGATCAGTCACTATCATCTGAGAGATGTAAATCAAAATAACAATGAGATGTCACCTCACACCTGTCAGAATGGCTATCATCAACACACCTCACACCTGTCAGAATGGCTGTCATCAACAAATCGACCAATGACAAGTGTTGGTGAGGTTGTGGAGAACAGGGAACCCTAGTACACTGCTAATGGAAATATAGACTGGTAGAGCAACATGGAAAACAAATATGGAGTTTCCTCAAGAAATTAAAAATGTAATTCCCATTTGGCCCAGTCATCCCACTTCTAGGAATATATCCCAATAAACCTGAAACATTCATCATAAATAATATATGCACCTCTATGTTCATTGTAGCATATTTTATAATAGCTAAGACTTGGAAACAGCCTAAGTGTCCATCAGCAAATGAATGGATAAAAATACAGTGGTACATCTACACAATGGAATACTATTCTACTGTAAAAAAGAAATAACTCTTAGCATTTTCAACATGGCTGGACCTGGAGAATATTATCCTGAATGAAATAAGCCATTCAGAGAAAGATCTGTCTCATATGTGGAATCTAATAAACAAAATAAACTGATGATCAAAAATGTACCCAAAGTCACTGAAACATATACAGACTAATGAACCTCAGAGGGAATGCAGAGGAGAGTAGATGGAAAGAGATCAACCAATGAATTTATATGCATATATGCATATGTGCATATGGACAC